CCTTTTCCACTGCATTTCAGCCCTGCCACAAAAGCACCAGCTGCTATCATGTCAGTGATTCTCTCGTTAACACAGGTGAGTGTTGATGAGGACAAGGCTGGAGATCACTCTGTCATCCTAATTGAGTTAGAATAACAGACTGGAAGCTTTAAAAGGAGGGTGGTGCTTGGAATCATTGTTCTTCCTCTGTTAACCATGGTTACCTGCAAGGAAACATGTGCCGTCATCATTACTTTGCACAAAAAGGGCTTCACAGGAAAGGATATTGCTGCTAGTAAGATTGCACAAAAATCAACCATTTATCGGATCATCAAGAACTTCAAGGAGAGAGGTTCAATTGTTGTGAAGAAGGCGTCAGGGCGCCCAAGAAAGTCCAGCAAGTGCCAGGACCGTCTCCTAAAGTTGATTCAGCTGCGGGATCGGGGCACCACCAGTGCAGAGCTTGTTCAGGAATGGCAGCAGGCAGGTGTGAGTGCATCTGCACGCACAGTGAGGCGAAGACTTTTGGAGGATGGCCCGGTGTCAAGAAGGGCCGCAAAGAAGCCACTTCTCTCCAGGAAAAACATCAGGGACTGACTCATATTCTGCAAAAGGTACAGGGATTGGACTGCTGAGGACTGGGGTAAAGTCATTTTCTCTGATGAATCCCCTTTCCGATTGTTTGGGGCGTCCGGAAAACACCTTGTCCGGAGAAGACAAGGTGAGCGCTACCATCAGTCCTGTGTCATGCCAACAGTAAAGCATCCTGAGACCATTCATGTGTGGGGTTGCTTCTCAGCCAAGGGAGTGGGCTCACTCACAATTTTGCCTAAGAACACAGCCATGAATAAAGAATAGTACCAACACATCCTCCGAGAGCAACTTCTCCCAACCATCCAAGAACAGTTTGGTGACGACCAATGCCTTTTCCAGCATGATGGAGCACCTTGCCATAAGGTAAAAGTGATAACTAAGTGGCTCTGGGAACAAAACATCAAAATGTTGGGTCCATGGCCAGGAAACTCCCCAGACCTTAATCCCATTGAGAATTTGTGTTCGATCCTCAAGAGGCGGGTGGACAAACAAAAACCCACAAATTCTGACAAACTCCAAGCATTGATTATGCAAGAATGGGCTGCCTTCAGTCAGGATGCGGCCCAGAAGTTAATTGACAGCATGCCAGGGCGGATTGCAGAGGTCTTGAAAAAGAAGGGTCAACACTGCAAATATTGACTCTTTGCATAAACTTAATGTAATTGTCAATAAAAGCCTTTGACACTTATGGAATGCTTGTAATTATACTTCAGTATACCATAGTAACATCTGACAAAAATATCTCATAACACTGAAGCAGCGAACTTTGTGAAGACCAATGCTTGTGTCATTCTCAAAACTTTTGACCACGACTGTAGATAGATACAGTTGAAGTCGGAAGTTTACATACACCTTAGCCAAATACATTTAAACTCAGTTTTTCACAATTCCTGACATTTAATCCTAGTAAAAATTCCCAGTCTTAGGTCAGTTAGGATCACCACTTTATTTTAAGAATGTGAAATGTCAGAATAATAGTAGAGAGAATGATTTATTTAAGCTTTTATTTATTTCATCACATTCTCAGTGGGTCAGAAGTTTACATACACTCAATTAGTATTTGGTAGCATTGCCTTTAAATTGTTTAACTTGGGTCAAACATTTCGGGTAGTCTTCCACAAGCTTCCCACAATAAGTTGTGTGAATTTTGGCCCATTCCTCCTTACAGAGCTGGTGTAACTGAGTCAGGTTTGTAGGCCTCCTTGCTCGCACATGCTTTTTCAGTTCTGCCCACAAATGTTCTATAGGATTGAGGTCAGGGCTTTGTGATGGCCACTCCAATACCTTGACTTTGTTGTCCTTAAGCCATTTTGCCACAACTTTGGAAGTATGCTTGGGGTCATTGTCCATTTGGAAGACCCATTTGCAACCAAGCTTTAACTTCCTGACTGATGTCTTGAGATGTTGCTTCAATATATCCACATAATTTTCCTTCCTCATGATGCCATCTATTTTGTGAAGTGCACCAGTCCCTCCTGCAGCAAAGCACCCCCACAGCATGATGCTGCCACCCCCGTGCTTCACGATTGGGATGGTGTTCTTCGGCTTGCAAGCCGTCCCCTTTTTCCTCCAAACATAACGATGGTCATTATGACCAAACAGTTCTATTTTTGTTTCATCAGACCAGAGGACATTTCTCCAAAGAGTACGATCTTTGTCCCCATGTGCAGTTGCAAACCGTAGTCTGGGTTTTTTATGGCGGTTTTGGAGCAGTGGCTTCTTCCTTGCTGAGCGGCCTTTCAGGTTATGTCGTTATAGGACTCGTTTTACTGTGGATATAGATGACTCCAACCTAAGTGTATGTAAACTTCTGACTTCAACTGTATCAGTATATGTGAAAGTACTTCTGATATTTATTGATGTTGCTGAGGTAAGATAACGCCGTTTTTAAAGATTCATATATGGGCACTTGACCATGAGAGTGAGAGGATAGTTGTCACCTTAAGAAATGTTTTCCCAATTGATCTTGACATACTGGTCTCTGTCACTCCTGTTGTGCTCATGGTAGATGCCCAGTGTGTGGACATGTGGTTCTCAATTCACCCAGTTTTACTCTGAATGTCAATGTAGTCTGACTGGCCACTCCATGGAACAAAGTGAATGCAGGTTTTTGTGTGAAACGATTTCATGGACATCTCAATCATAGCCTTTTCGGAGTCATCTGTGATGAAGACTTCTGTCTCACTTGCGTTATCACATCATAACATCAGGTTATATGTGTTCATGGCTTAATAATACATAATGAATGTGCTATGTCAATTTATAAATAAAATGTAATAATTATTTTCATTTACAGAAGTAAACGTCTTATGATATATGGCACCTCCACCAGTCCAGAGGAGGATTTGGTCCATCTGCAGTAGTTGCTGTTGCCCCAACACTTCATGGCATTTCTGGTCCTGGGTAGAGCTACATCTCCCTCCATCAGCATCTGGCTCATCCTTTGGTGCAAAGAGTCGAGTGGATCACATAACGAAGATATGGATTGTAGACGTTATCTTAATCAGACACTGACTTGTGAGCTTATGAGTAAATCATATTTACCTTTGTTTGCCTCAAGGATCCTTGTAGTGATGTCTAAGGTGTTAGATTATTTGGTCCTGACATCTGAACAGGAGTGTACAGTTACATGGCAGCTGCCATACTGCTGTATTTCAATCTTTCTTGCTAGTTCAGCATTGTGTTTCTAGCTAGTGTTGTAAATTGGACAAATAATATGTACATTTTCAATATACAGTAGACTTGATTATTATATGTTTTTACACTGCTGCTACTCATTATTATCTATGCATAGTCACTTTACCCCTACCTACATGTGCAAATGACCTCGACTAACCTGTTCCCCCGCACATTTACCCTGTATATAGCCTTGTTATTGTTATTTTATTGTGTTACTTTTTATTTCATTTTTTACTTTAGTTTATTCAGTAAATATTTTCTTAACTCTATTTCTTGAACTGCATTGTTGGTTAAGGGCTTGTAAGTAAGCATTTCACGGTAAGGTCTACACCTGTTGTATTCGGTGCATGTGACAAATAACATTTGATTTGATTTGATATATAGCACTGAACAGTATTGTGCATTTAGAGTGAAGACTTACCATCCTCAATGGGCCGTTCTTGCAGAGGAGACAATCACTGCATGAGTGATTCTGAACACTACAGTGAGTTGAAACTTTAGAGAGGAGCTCAGCAGTGCCGAGGGCTCCAGCTCTTACCAGGGGAGAGTGGGCCTGGGAGAGGCCAAGCAGGAGCAGGGCCAAGATGGCGAAGATGAGGCTCTGGTCCATGTTCCTTCAGTGGGTGAAGCTGCTCAGAGAGGATCAGGTGGAAACAGGTGTGCGAGTGAGACAGAGCATAGTTTTTATACAGCCACACAGGGAGGGACCAGCAGTGGGTTTAGGCTATATGTCAACACTCGGGGCCTAAAACAAGTATTTTAGAAGAGGGATTATTGCAGTAACCTCACCCATCTATTCAGTCACTGACTCAGGATACAGCTACAAGGGCGGGTAGAGTTGTGATAGCTATGTTTTTCATGAATAATCTTAGCTCTAATTAATCTTCATCTGATTACATATAATAGGCCTAGGCATCTACAATTTATGAGTCAAGTTGGACATATGGGAGTATGGAGTTGGCAAAGCTCCCATACTAAGACATTAAAATATCACTCCAAGAAGAGTGAATTTATAGAATTGTAAGGGTTGGTGTGAAGTGTGACCCAGGTGCGGTGCGGGATGTACAGTAGGCAGTAGGCAGAGATGGTGAAACAAGGATCTTTACTGGTGGTCCCGAAGCCAAAATACAAAATAACGGACTTATCATGATAAAAGAAAGGCGGAGCAAATAAGTCTCCAAAAACTGGTTGACAGCCAAAATACGAAATACTACCCATGACTGAAACAAATAACAAAACAGATCGAACACTTCTCAAGTACCTGTACATAGGTCTCCGATCAGACACCGAGTAGTGATTAAACGTTTTTATTCAAAAATCCACACCATACATCATCATACACATTACACACACCATTAATTCCCAAACCCAACATCACTAAAAATAACAATACAAAACTACCCACCACAATATATATCAAACACCCACAAAACCGAACAATAACAGAAATTACACCCCAGGGGAGCACCTTCCCTCCCCCTTTATACCCAGCTAAAAACACACACACAAATCCTAAATCCCTACCCCTCTACACTAACCCTAACCCTAAACCCCCCTTACACCTCTCCCGAGCAGTATGCTGCCCCCACTTCCTCTCCTCTCTCTTCATTCTCCCCCTCAAATTCTGCTCCACCCTCCTCACTATCCCCTCCACACCCCCTTCTCTCCCTGTCCTTTCCATTTTCTGCCTAGCTTCCCACAACCCCCGTTTAAAGAGGCTTATGAGAAGCCAGAGCAGAAACCTGTCCCTAACCGTCCCCATCCACCTTGAGGACCAGGACCTTGCCTATAAAGAACAACGACCTAGCCCTCCACATCCCCAGCTTCCTCTGTGCCACTGCGATGCTCCTGTTCCAGTTCAGCGTCGCTGAGCCGGAGGTCTCAAACAAGACCCCGAGAATCTTCAGGGCCCCGATACAGAGAGATAACCCCCCAGGTACATCCGTCCTCCCACGCCATCTTCCGAAAAACTTAACGGAAGACTTAGCGTGATTGAGAACTGCTCCCGACGCTCGGGTGAATTCCCCAATGATGGCAAGGGACCTAGTCAGGCACGAGTCCTTGCATAGTAACAAGGAAGTGTCGTCGGCGTACTGCGTCATCTTAACGTGCAGCCCACCGCTCCCAGGGATAAGCAAGCCCTCCACCCCTGTGTCTGCCCTAATGGCAGCCCCCAGAGGCTCCATGTACAGAACGAAGAGGAGTGCCAAGAGCGGGCACCCCTGCCTGACCCCCGACGCGAGGTCAAAAACGTCACCCATGTGACCGTTTACATTAACCCGGCACCCTGCTCCGACATATAAAGCACGGATCCACCCTATATACTTCTCCCCAAAACCTAACCTACCTAACACCCTGAAAAGAAAATATCTATTCACTCGATCAAAGACTTTAGCCTGATCAAGTGCTGCTACCATTAACGGCAGCCCTCTTTCCTCTACCCAAGCGATGGAGTCCCTAATCAAACTCAGGTTCCACCTAATAGAGCGGCCCTCTATCCCACACGTCTGATCCTCATGGACGATGTAGGGAAGGGCTGTGCGCAACCGGTCCGCTAGAACCTTCGCAAGCAGTTTATAATCTACGCACAGCATGGTCAACGTCCGCCAGTTGCCAAGGTCTGTTGCGTCCCCCTTCTTGTAAAGGAGTGACAGCACACCTACGGCCATCGATCCCCCCGGGACCCCCGTGTCGAGGATTGCCTTCAAGACTTCAAGGACTACCGGACCAAGTTTCCCCCAAAACTTCAGGTAAAACTCTGCCGGCAGCCCATCCATGTCACGCCCTGGCTCCGGGGACACTGTTATGTTGAGCCAGGGTGTGTAGATTTCTGTGTTGTAGGTCTAGTTGTTTCTTTTCTATGTTGCCAGTGTGGTTCTCAATCAGAGGCAACGAGTGTCAGCTGTGGCTGGTTGTCTCTGATTGGGAACCACATTTAAACAGGCTGTTTTCCCACAATAGTTGTGGGATCTTGTTCTAGTTGGTTGGTGTTAGACCGTTGACTGTCACGTTATCGTTTTGTTGTTTTGATCGTGTATCACCTATAATAAATATGTTCGCATTCAACGCTGCGCCTTGGTCCTCCTCTCTTACCGACGATCGTGACAGAAGATCCCACCAGAACTGGACCAAGCAGCGGGTCCAGGAGCCATCGCCAGGGAAAACCCTAGCGGATATCCAGCGCCTCCTCGACTGGGTCAAGCCGGGTGAGGAAGAGAGGGGCTTGACGTGGAAGCAGAAGGGCGAAAGGCTGGCGAGAAGTATGGAGACCTGGTCCACGGGTAGGAGTGAAGCCCATAACATTTTTAGGGGGGGGCTAACGCCGTGGACGACGGGCCAGCAGGAGACCGCGACAGAGCGGCCCAGCGGGTTGGCAGAGGAGGCCGCCAGGTTACGGGGGCCACTGGTCGAAGAGGGGATGGAAGGTGTAGAGGCACGGCGAAGGGTACTGGGGTGTGTTACCAGTCCGGTCCGGCCCGTTCCAGATCCCTGCGTAGGGCCAGTGGTGTGTGTCCCCAGTACGGTCCGGCCTGTTCCTGCTCCCCGTACCAGGCCAATGGTGCGAGTCTCCAGCCCGGTCCGGCCCGCTCCTGTTCCCCACACCAAGCCAGTGGTGCGCATCGCCAGCCCGGTCCGGCCCGCTCCTGCTCCCCACACCAAGCCAGTGGTGCGCATCGCCAGCCCGGTCCGGCCCGCTCCTGCTCCCCACACCAAGCCAGTGGTGTGCGTCGTCAGCCCGGCACGGCCCGTGCCTGTTCCCCACACCAAGCCAGTGGTGCGCATCGCCAGCCCGGTCCGGCCCGTTCCTGCCCCCCACACCAAGCCAGTGGTGTGCGTCGTCAGCCCGGCACGGCCCGTGCCTGTTCCCCACACCAAGCCAGTGGTGTGCGTCGTCAGCCCGGCACGGCCCGTGCCTGTTCCCCACACCAAGCCAGTGGTGCGCATCGCCAGCCCGGTCCGGCCCGCTCCTGCTCCCCACACCAAGCCAGTGGTGTGCGTCGTCAGCCCGGCACGGCCCGTGCCTGTTCCCCACACCAAGCCAGTGGTGTGCGTCGTCAGCCCGGCACGGCCCGTGCCTGTTCCCCACACCAAGCCAGTGGTGTGCGTCGTCAGTCCGGCACGTCCCGTGCCTGTTCCACCGGTGCCTGGTCCGGCACCGGTCAGATGCTTCACGCCGGAGCTAGAGCAATCCGCTCCACCAATGTGCAGTCCAGCTCCGGCCAGCGGGGCCAGACCGGACCAGGGGTACTTTGGGGGGTTGGAGAGGGAGCGGGGATCTGGCCCGGAGCCGGATCCACCGCCTAGGCGGAGTGCCCACCCGGTCCCTCCCCTGTGGTATTTGGTTGGCGCGGTCGGAGTCCGCGCCTTTAGGGGGGGGTACTGTCACGCCCTGGCTCTGGGGACACTGTTATGTTGAGCCAGGGTGTGTAGATTTCTGTGTTGTAGGTCTAGTTGTTTCTTTTCTATGTTGCCAGTGTGGTTCTCAATCAGAGGCAACGAGTGTCAGCTGTGGCTGGTTGTCTCTGATTGGGAACCACATTTAAACAGGCTGTTTTCCCACAATAGTTGTGGGATCTTGTTCTAGTTGGTTGGTGTTAGACCGTTGACTGTCACGTTATCGTTTTGTTGTTTTGATCGTGTATCACCTATAATAAATATGTTCGCATTCAACGCTGCGCCTTGGTCCTCCTCTCTTACCGACGATCGTGACAATCCATCCCAGGCACCTTCCCTTTTCCCATCCTCCTGAGGGCGCTCTCAACCTCTTCGAGGGAGATCTGATCCTCCATCGCTTCTCTAATGTCCTCTGGCACTCGCCGGGACAGGTGTTCTAAAAATACATTTCCCTGCTCTACATCTACTGCCCTTTCTTGAAAAAAACCTCGGAAATGTTCCGTGGTCACCTTGACCATTTCCTCAGTTTCTCTCACTACTCTACCGTTTTCTTCCCTAACCCCGTACATTACCTTCCTACTCTGTCTTCCCCTAACTGATTTAAAGAACACGGCGGAACAAGTCTCGTCGTGTTCTAAAAACCCACTATGCGCACGTTCCAGGAAAGGGCGAGCCTTCCTCTCATGCACCTCCCTAAGTTGCGCCTTTAGGGCAGAGGATCTCTCCCAGTCTACCGACCCGCCGAGTTGGCCTGCCTCGAGCTTTAGGGCAGAGGATCTCTCCCAGTCTACCGACCCGCCGAGTTTGCCTGCCTCGAGCTCGAGTTCGAGCAGCCTTTGGATATGATCCACCTCACTCCTTTCCTCCCTCTTTTTCCTCTTACAATATCCTATTATAAAAACCCTAATCCTCACCTTTGCTATTTCCCACCACTCTAACACCCCCTCACACATGGACCGGAGGCCCTCAAGCCCCCTAAAGAAATCAACAAAACCGTTAACGAAAGCCTGCTCATCCAGTTCCTCCCGTTCTAACTTCCAGTACCCCCTACCAAAGAGGCAGACTGGTGCCCCCACCTGCAGCAGCACCCCGTCGTGATCCGAAAAAAACACAGGCAACAAACGCCCAGACAACTGACCCAGTGACCTGGATAGAAAAATATAGTCGAGCCTCCGCTCGACCCCTCTGGAGTTGCGCCATGTTGGACCTGCCATCGTCGGAGCAGTGTGCAGGCCCCCATCTACCAGACCATGGCACGCCATTAGCCCGGTGATGGCACCTGCACTACTGTCCCTCCCCCTCCCTATATCTATATTTAAAATCCCCCCCTATCACCAAGTGTCTATTCGTGGCACACAGCGGCGCCAGGCAGTCCACCATCTCCCTCCTGCCTGCCGCCAACTGTAGCCCATACACCCCAATTACCCTATATCTATCATCCCTTACTGTGACATCCACCCCCAAAACCCTCCCCTGCATACCTACCAAAGTGCCCTCCACCTTCACCTCCCTATTCCCAAACGAAATCCCTACCCCCGATGAGTGCACCCCCCCCCCTATATACCCCAAACCGACTCTCCCTTGTCCCACTCCCTCTTAAACCTTATTACATCCCCACTATCCCTTAGGTGAACCTCCTGTATAAAACAAACATCAAAACCGCCCTTCTTTTAACATCCTCCCTTACTCCCCGCACATTTAAAGTAACAAAAATAATCCCTGCCATAATACATTTCACAAATTACAACCTACTAAACCCCAAAAAACTAAACAAAACAGGAGGCTCACCTGATGCTCCCCTGCTCCATGTCCTCCTGTAGGGACTCCGACTCCCCCCCAGATGCCCCCCCACTCCCCTCCATCTCTCCAACCCAGGATGCAGGAATGGTGTTTGGCTCCTGGGTTCCCTGCATCCTGGGCTCACCACCATCCACCTCCAAAACCCCAATTTCAAAACAGGTTGGGAACAGTGCAGGGGATCGCCCTTCTCCCCCATGACACGCTTGGCCACCCCTCTCCCCCACCACCCATTTCCCTGTTCCTGTCCGAGGATCTCCCCCTCCTTTTCCCTCTCTTCTTTGGAGACGCCGGCAGTGGGGAGACCCAGCCCCCCTTGATCACCAGCTCCTCCATCATCTCCCTCACCTCATCCCCCTGGGCACTCGACATCTCGCTTTCCCCCCACTCCGGCCCCCTCCTCTCACCCCTTCTCCTCTCCTCCCAGGGCTGTGGCTGGCTCCTCCCCGACCTCCTCTCCCTCCACAGCCTCCGTCTCCGGCACCTCCTCTCCCACACTCCCCTCCGTCTCCATCTCCGGCACCACCTCTCCTTCCAGAACTGCTACGGCAGTCCCCTGCCCGTCCCCCTCTCCTCCCGGTGCTGGTCTCGGCTCCTCCTCCGTCGTCGATGGTATTGCCTCTGGCCCTGCGCTTGGGTCTGGAACTCCTCCTCCTCTTCCTCCTCCATCCCCCGCTCCTGCCCCTGCTCCCCCACCAGCTGCAGCTGCATACGACTTGTGACGAGCCGTCCACTCCCTCCACAGGTGTGCTGACGATCCACACCCGTGGCACTTCTTCGACTCGTCACAGTCCCTCGCCTCGTGTGCCTCAGACCCACACACCCTGCATTTCTTCGCCCCACATGAGGCGAAATTATGGCCATAGGCCATGCATCGTCTGCAGAAAGGGGGCTGACGGGCATAAAACAATGTCCCCCTGTCAGCCCCCAGGGAGAACAGAGCTGGAGGATGAAGGTAACCTCCCAGGCCCTTTGGGTCTTCCCTCAACAGATCCTGGAAGCTTATCCTCCCGTTCCAGAACCCTAGCGAGTCTTTGAGGAGCCTTGCAGAGGAGACATTGTCCATATACCTCCCCATTAAAGCCCTCACCTACTCATCCTTAACATGCGGGTTATACATGTTTACTGTTATTACTCTGAAGTTGTTCTTGGCCAAGCTTGTCACATCGTAGTGGCACATCGGCCTGGCCTTCTCCACCTCCCTCGCCTTTTTCATGACCTCATCATGCTTCCCCTCCGTGTGAAAAACCACATCATAAGCCCCTTCCAAGGGGTTCGCCTGGAGGCACATCACGTCCTTTACCGCCAGTTTTAACACTCCCATCAACAAAGTCCTCCCAAATGTTTCCCTTCCAAAAGGCTCCATGTCCTTCTCCTTCCACGCAAATCTAACTGCGTTCGTGATCCCAATCCTGGGAATCGCCCTAAAATTTGCATTTTTCGCCATCTCCGCGAGGAGAATAGCGCCCGCACCACTGCTCCGACTCTTCTCTATATTAGTTGCAAACAATTTTAATTGATTTAAACCACCGCTAGCTTCCTTCTTAGACAGTCGTAGTACTGCTTGACATAGAGAAACTAACAGAGAAAACTGAGCAGGGGAACACAGGGAAGTGAGGGCATAAATACACAGGTGAACAGGTAGACACAGGTGACACCAATAGGATAATGATTAGTCCAGACTGTGAGTGAGGAGGTGCCTAAGGTTGTCGGAGGATGACACCTAGTGGGTCGCTCCAGAACTGCGACCCCCTCCTGTAACATAGAATCCCTTAATAAATGAAAGTGCTGTATATATTACAATAATTCGGTGCATTTAACATATGAACATAAATCTGTATTGTAAAGCTTTACTGATTAAGGGCTCTATTCATTCCGTATTGCTGAAATTCAGCGTTACAGCGTGATTGAAATTTAAAGTCAATGTTCCTGTGTTAGCGGAGACTGCGTTCATGGTAAACGCTGCAGATGTCGGCTCAATAGGAAATGACCTTTACATTGCTAGCATGCGCTCTGTAACACTTCAACAATATAGATTGAATAGAGACCTAATGGTCCAAATGGTTCAGTTTTCAGCGAGGGAGTCCATTGTGGATGTACTGTCACTACTTTTTGGGGGGTACTTTTTACCCCAATTGGTAGTTACACTCTTGTCCCATCGCTGCAACTCCCGTATGGACTTGGGAGAGGTGAAGGTCGAGAGCCATGCGTTCTCCGAAACATGACCCTGCCAAGCCGCACTGCTTCTTGACACACTGCTCGCTTAACCCAGAAGCCAGCCACTCCAATGTGTCAGAGGAAACACAGTACAACTGGCGACCGAAGTCAGCGTGCATGTGCCTGGCCTGCCACAGGAGTTGCTAGAGCGCGATGGGACAAGGACATCCTGGCCGGCCAAACCTTCCCCTAACCCGGACGACGCTGGGCCAATTGTGCGCCGCCTCATGGGTCTCCCGGTCAGCTGCAACACGGCCTGGGATCTAACCCTGGTCTGTAGTGACGCCTCAAGCACTGCGATGCAGTGCCTTCGACCGCTGTGCCACTCGGGAGGCATAAACACCTACTTTTAATAGTAGGCTAACACTTTACATTAAGATATCGTTTATAAAGAGGGTACAAAGTTGTTTATAAATAGTAAATAATTTGTTTTAGATCATAAACTACAGATAATAGTTCGTTTACTATAGTTAAATTATAGTTTATTGTATTACATTGTTTAATATACATAGAGAAGAGTTGTAAACAATATGTTGATCCCATATTCATGTTATCTGACACACTGGGTGAGGTTGCTGCAGTAATCCCTCTGCTAAAAGGCATGTTAAGACCCGAAGTGATGATGAAAAGCATAAGCCTGACTGGTAGCCCCTCCCTATGTGGGTCTCTGACAGTCTCACACGCCTGCTCCTATGCACCGGATGACGGTATAAAAGGTCAGCCATTTAGATAAGGTAAAGAGGTCAATCAAACTCGACCAAAACAAAGGAGTTGCCATGGAATCGCGTGGGGGAAAGTTCCAGAGTCTCCTCATTGCCCTCCAGACATATGGGCCTGCATTTAGCCTATGGTTTATATGTGTATCTCACATGTTGAGGTAAAAAGCTGAGTATAATGCTTGTATGGATGTGAACCCCAACACATGTTCAGCGTAATCTGGGGTGGCAGGTAGCCTAGTGGTTAAGAGCGTTCGAATCCCTGAGCCAGCTAGTTGGGAAAATGTTGTGCCCTTGAGCAAGGCAGTTAACCCCTAACAACAACTGCTCAGACTTTAGTAACCAAATTGTGGGCCTGTTACAATACATCAATCATGACGGATTTGAGGAATATCCACTTTGTTAGATCAGATTTGTTGAATGTGCTCCAATCTGGTCAATGGAACGGTTTGCATCCCATTGACTCCTTTACCGCATCTATGGCTGCCATTTTCATACCATTCTGGAACTTTGAGGGGTCATGACATAGCCCCTCTAGTAATTCAATAGGATCTCAATGGGCTTATTCTACATTGCAGTGCAGGCTAGTTTGAGAGCATCAAACCGTGATTTATCCAGTGCTTGATTTGGGCAGGAGCTCACCAGAGCTGAGTACCAGCGCCTCAGATGTTCTTCTGCTTGAGCTCCTTTCCTCTTATAGAATATTAGCTCAAAAGTATTGTGGAGCTCCTGTACCTACCGGCACCCAAAATGAGTATCTGTAGCTATTTCAGTCCAAGTCAAGCACTGTATGGGTAAATTGTGACTGACTGACTCATCTACAAATAATAATGAGTCTTTATTTACGATGCAAGGTGATTTGTAGATCAGTCAGTGGGCAGTCGCCTGCAATGTCGAACAAGCCCAACAGCTCTGATAAACCGTCAAGCCTGCATGCGCAGTGGAGTCTGTGACCTTGTGCTCGAGGACAGGAACGCAGACGTCACCACAGACAGGCAGGCGCATACTGTAATTGACAATATAATAAAGACACCACTAGAGAGCGCTACAATACAACAACTAATCATATGTGACAATTCAGATTCCCCTGACATTGAAAAGCAAAAGAATGTATGTATATTGATCACATATCCTTTCTAAATCTATACCATTTATGTATGCTAAAATACTGCCACTCAAAACTAATGCTGACAGGTGACAGGTGTCCTATTACACAATGACCCAGTAATAACTAACACAACATGTGACATGCCATGTGGCCTAACAGTAATGTGTGTTTGGCTACTGGATGAGTAAAGTTAAGATATCAGTATGCTTTCTCCATTCAGACAGGATAGGGTTGTCTACTATATAGAGGGTGTCGGTCTTCAGAGATGCAATGACATGGAAGAATGGGAGTCCTAGAATGTAATGTTCTGCTGTCCGGTGGAACATTTCCTGACATGACAAGGCCAACTTTTTTTAAAATATATATCACTGGGGGTCTCTCTTTCACCCCTTCTCCCATTTCGACCATTCCCCTTTTCCCCATTTGTTCAGTTCACTCTTAGTTACTTAACCTTAGATGGACAAGAACAGGCTGAGGACACCCTAAATAATTAACCCCCTTTATATTTGTCACTACAACTGGATCACAAAGAGAGCAGCCTAGCTGTGTGGAAGCTATAGTAGGCATACACTTTTCACTATACAAAGCATGATCTGTATGATTGCTTGTTTTAGTGCCTGTGTGTCTGTTGTTCACACCTGCCTCTGGTCATATGACCTGTCAGCATGCCACCATCCCAGGCCATGGCCTCCTTTGACATACAGCACATTCATCCATAACTATTCTAAAGTCGTACAATGCTTCACATGACTCCTCAAAAGAGGAGTGTTTAAAGGACTAGGCAAAACATATTATGGTCTAACATCTTTATTAACAATAATGAATAAAAACATTCACTTCAAGCTCCTAAAACGAACAAAAGCCCAGAATATAGTCTATGTGAAACGCCGTTTTTGCAATAGGAGGATAATGTGTGTGGAGCTGGTGTGGAGGCTGACTGCAACATCATGCAGCCCGTTTGAAATGCAGCGCATGCGGAATCAGTGTATGACCTTCAATTCAAGGTCGATGTTTTTCTCAATGACACCGGGAACACTGACATCAGTCTCCAATCTCTCTGCAGTGTCTCTGAAAATATTCTCAGACATCATAGGTCTAACACATGAACATACAATACATTATTATAACCTAATTATTTTATGATTGATGGGTTTGATTAAAGCATGTTTAATGGAAAATATTTGCATTATAGGAGACTACCACATATAGTCTTCCTCATGATAAGCTATTTTAACAAATATACTACTTTGATAATTTCAGTTGCCAAATGGTCTGTTTTAAAAAGATTTTTCCGGGACAGGGGACATTGGTTGTCGGCTCTTTTCCATGAAAGCGATAGCATTGCACGAGCTCCTCTCGATTGCACATGCGCACCCCTCTCCCTTCCTCTATCGATGCCAGCTGTTATAGTCAAGTTACCAAGCGGATTCGAGACTTCGGTTTTTCCTCTTCTCATCTCGTTGCAGTTGTCCACTGACCCCCACTTCCTTGGCCTCGATCCAAACTCCGCGTACCAGCTGACGAGTGTTGCCTACGTAGCGCAGTGAGCCGGGTCAGTGTCACAAGACCGAGTTGACTGAGCGCGGTTGCAAACATTTTCCATACCATCTAAAGCTATGTTTACTATGGTGTCGTTTGATCCATTGGAGGACATGAATTCCACCGCATTACAGACACGTACGAATAGAATGTATTTTGCAAATTGGCCCATAATTAACTGGTTATTGTTCATTAGGAACTCAGGTATGACAGGACTAGGAAAGAGTGCAGAATTCATATTGTGTAGCTATTTTGGATTGCATAATCAAATAGCTGTTTCAGAAATGAAGTAGGCTAGGCCTATACCTACAAATTATCAAACTGCATAAGCAATCCAAAAAGCAGCCTTTATGGAAGTTAGTAGGCCTAACTAATTGACCTTCCTGGTAAAATAAAGGTAAAATAAAAAATAAAAATAAAAGATCGCCTATTATTGGTCCAACTATTTATATATGGTTTCAAATGTAAATTATTGAAATCCCTGAACCTGTAAAACGAATTATGGCATATTACTGGTTTGCATTTTCTATATGCGATGTATAAAACACTAAACCAGTGAGGCTGCAGGCAGACGCTAGGCTACAGTAGGTCATTTTTCATTGTTGCAACGCCGATGACGCTGATGGAAGGAGGCTGGATTGGAGGGCGCGCACGGACGTAACGGAGACACCGCAGACGCAAATTGAGAGAGGGAGGAGAATGGACAAGGGATAGGCTATACGTAACTAGAACCTCAGTTGTAGC